GAAAGTGACAGCCGCAGCGACATTAAACCATCCAACATTTAGGCCGAGATCCACAAAGGGATTTAGGCTCCTAATGTCTACTGAAATCTTTTGTGGCCCTGTGCCTTCATTCCTCAAGAGGTCACAGGGAGAAGTGTTTCCCATGTGCCCTCATGGGATTTCCTATGAGCTGATAACCAATCTCGGAGGGAATCTCCCTGGCCTGCAATCACTCCAGTACAGGGAGGGCAGGTGATGAGGATAATTGTCATCATCATCATCATCCTTCATAACAACGGCTCTTTTCAATTCTGTCAGGCCTTCCATTACAGACTTTCAGACCTTTATGAAGACACTTTCCCCACACAGCTTTAAGGTTACGTCTATACTAGGAGATAGAGATGCAATTCCCCTGCTCCCATACACATATTGTGGTACCTCGATGACGCTCGCATGACCATCCTTCTTCCTTAAACGCTGTCCTTAGACAGAGAGGGACCTGTGTCCACATTCAAACCTGTGTTCGGGCCCTGTGCTGCACCCCTGTACTTCCCACAGAGGCACAAACACACAGAGGTATTTCCTTACCTTCATACAGGCGGGAGATGCCATCTTCATTCACTGTTTCAGACAACAAATCACAGTAATGGTGGATAGTATTTCCTAGACATACAATGAATACAATGGATCTCATTACTTTTCAAATCCTTCGCTGAAAACTGCTGAAGATGCAGCCATTTCCCCAAGACAGCCCTTCGGAAAATTAAATACATTCCTTACATCTGTTCACAAAGCAGATTAGATAAAGCATCAGATGCCCAGCAGTTACTGAGAAGCTGATTTCTAAAGGAGACTGAATTCACATCAAACCAGCATGATGTGAATTCAATCTCCCCTAGGCGCAGCCAAAGAGCTGTTGTGGACAGGGGAAGTTGGTGCAGTCAATACAGCTAAGTTGCTCCCTTCATCTTGGAATACATGTTAATTCTCTCTCTCTCTCTCTCTCTCTCTCTCACACACACACACACACACACACACACACCCCGTTTTAGGATTCTGGTGCTGTCGGAGGGAACAGAGCAGCCATCTAGAAAAGGGCTTTGAAGGAAACATTTAAAAAAGCTGAAGTGAATTTGCTCTGCTTACCAATGAACAAGGCTGCAGAGTGTCGTATTGTTGTCTGTGAGCTTTCCAGGTAGTCTAGGGCCTGGAACAGGAATTTGGGGATGTGGCTCTTGTTGTTCTGCATCTGGAAAGAAAGAAGGAAGAAATGCACAATATACAAATGACATGTTCTCCCCACAGTGAATAGTCCAGGAAAGCCAAAGCATATAGCCAGGCCATGGCAACCGCCAATACGAACCCATACACCAGAGCAGCACCTCTCTGAAGTCACTGTTGTGTTCTCCAGAACCTCCGCTTTCATTTGAAAAGACAAAAGTTTGGAGGTCTGACAGTTGTGGAGGAAAATGTCAACAATGGGAACGGATTGTAACTCCTGCAGAAATGAACCAGCAGAGAGCCTGGAATAGCGTCTTGCAACCCGACCGAAGCGGATGGGTCCTCAGGCTGTGGGGTTAGAAAGGTCTCTCTCAAGTCCCCATTCACCCCTCTCAAGGCACAAGGAATTCACCTACCAGGCACTTCCCGACACTCTTCAAGAGCTGTGAGGAGCCATCCCAGGCCATGCTGCGGAACAGCCTCTTCAAATGAGCCCAGCCGAGAAACACTGCGCAGCGGAAGAGCGTCAGTTTACATCGCTGCAAGAGAAGGGGAGACCAAGAGGGTTCTCACTGAGAGAGGGATAGTCTGGGGGACACTGGACCTTCTCCACCCCTTGTGCTGTGTGCTGTGAGGATGGATGAGGCACGAGGCTCCAGCATGGAGTGAAGCAGGGAGGAGAAGATTCTGCTTGGGCAAGGGGCTCTGGCGATGACTGGAGTGGGGGCCCCAGGGGATTCTGGCTCTTTGCTCTGAAGGAAATAATGTCCGTGGCACTTACCAGTGTCACACTCTCCTCCTGGTCTGCAAGATGCAGCAGCAGCGGGAGCAAGCAGTGGATGATTTCCTGCTGCACGAGGGCTTTGTCCGGGTCCTGCACCCTGCTCACCACGTTGCCAAGCAGTGAAATGGCAGCTGAGCGCACACTGCCCCTCTCCTGGCAATGACACACAGGGGGTGGGGACGCCCGGTTAAAGCCAGGCAGTATCAGAGCAGAACGCGACAGAGTCATAATCCGCCCGCTGCTCCGGTTCCCCCGTGTGAACTGACTTGGGTGGGGGGAGCAGGGCGGACACCAGGCCAGCGCCATAGACATCTTGTGCAGGGCCTGAGACCCTGTGCAGGACAGCGCAGCCCCAGGGTGTCCCAGAGGCAGTTTCTGTCTGGAGAGCCCAGAATCCCAGAACCCGAGAAGATTTGGGGAGAGGGAGAGAAGTCTGCTGGAGACTGGTCTGGGGAAGGGGAGAAGCCGCTGCTGGAGCCTTGCAGGGATTCGCTGCTACAAAACACAGCATTTCTTTTGCTCTTCGGTGCCCCCGAGAGCCGGGCCATTCCCGACCCACCTCTTTCCTGCTGAGAATCTCCACCTCTTTGGGGGCCTGTGTTCTTCAGACAGCTGGTCATCTGCCCAGGGCCAGGCCCCCTCTCCCCCAGGCCAGGCTGCAGCAGGGGCTGGGAGCATGGCGCTGAGACTGAGCTTTGGCGAGAAGAGCTCTGACAGGGAGGTGGCTCAGCAGGAGATTCCCCACCCATGGCAGGGGCGCTCCTTGGAGGCTCCATGGCAGGCTTGAGGGGCGGGAGCCAAGGAGATGGGGAGAGAGAGACAAGGGCATCAGAGACAGGTGGAGGGGGGGAACGGGCTTCTCCTGGGGTTCCAAGCCTTACGTCATCAATGAAGGGGCGAAGGCTGACTGCAATGTCCTGGGAGATGGAGCCAAGCCCCTCCCTCTTGAGGAGGTAGATGATGTCTCCAGCTTTGTGCATGGCCTCCTTGACACACCCTCCATCCCGGTCACAAAACCTGGCCACGGTTCCTGGCAGCTGGGCCTGTAACCATCTCACCTGCAGGAATGAAGAAGGCAACTCATTACTTTCCGGGCTGACAGCCTGGAGCACATGCTGGACCACTCCCGCCTAGGAGAAACCACGGATGGCAGAGCCCCCCAACGGGGCAGAAAGTCGTTCTCCTGTCACTCTGTGCCAGCTGCTCACTGTAACCTTTGTCGTTGCTCACCCCACCTCCCCCATTGCATCCCATCTGCAATCAGGGCTCCGCTCATGGGGGCAGGGAGCACGTCATGCCTTGATTTGCTCAGGAAAGCACCTCCACCATTTGATGGCTGTGTGTTAAACAACAAGGTTTATGTGGGGATCTGGCTCTCGTTTCCGAGCTATTTGAGAGACATCGGCTTCCTTGGTCCCCTGGGCAATCCACGCCTCTTACCTTTTCTGGCTGGAACACAATACTGCCAAGGCCTCGCAGACTGAGCTTACATATGACGGGATTTGTGTCCTTGGTCCATTCCATGAGCTGCGCCCGGAGCTCTGATTTTGTCAGTACTGTGTCAATGGAAGGACTCTGGAGAAACTGCAAAGAGCCAAATCAACATCAGGTTGAGGAACAGAGGTCTTCCTGGGGGGTCTCTTCCCTGGACAGTCGTCTTTACCAAAGGGCCGCTTACTCCCACCCAAAGTCTCTGGTGCGTAGGGAGCCAGTTGCTGCTGTTTCAGTTGGTTCATTCCCAAAAGTTGGACTCATGCACAGCTCACAAATCAACCCCCAGGGAAAGGGGCGTCTCCAGGCCTCATTGAGCGCCATGCAGAGACCCCTGGGACAGAAGAAAAGCACAACCTCAGGAAAAGGTGAGGAGAGAAGCATGGTCTTGGGGCACTGGAGAAACCTCTCCTCTTGTCCCATAATCCCATCGAGGCACATCCAGCCAGGAGCAATCTCACCCTGTCTCTCCCTCCCTCTCTTTGCCATGCCCCACAACCATCCTTGTGCAGAGAGGAGCTAGCTGGCGGTAAGGCTGCTGAGCTGCTGACAATGTGCCCCAGAGCTTACTGGCCTGAGCTGCTCTCCAGAAAGCCCCCTTGTGCCTATCAACTAATGTATCTCACCTCAATACAGAAAGCCATGGCAATTGTTCTCTGCTCCTCCTCCCTCTCACTCTGGACGATGGTGATTGCCTCTCTGAAAACTGCAGGGAGCTGAGGGTTCTCACACTCGATCATGGCTCTGGAACATGGAACAGAAAGTCCCTTGTGATTTTCAAGGGGGAGAGAGAGTTCCTCTCCAGTTGCTGGGCTGAGCTGGCAGCCTGGAACAGAGGAATATTTCACACGGAAATCCCATTCCCAAGAGAGACCCAGTGAGGAGGAAACTTTGGGCTCCTACCTTGCAATCAGGCCAACACCCTGTGAGTAGTAATATCGGGAGGCTATCGTGTCCCAACCCTGCTGAAACTGGATGATGGCAAATTCCTTCCAGTAGCCGGGCATGGAGAAAAGAGTCTTCACAGCCTCCACTGACGTGCTAAAGAGAAAAAAATACCAGTCTCAGGCAACGAGATCAGCCCCAGGCATGGCAAATCTGCACAAGCCCTGGGAAATACAGCATGGTCAGCAGTAGCTAGCCTCCCCGAGGATAGATCCAGTGTGATATCATGGTGCTTCCCTGCCCAATGGGCCCTGTCTACACTGCAGTTTCGTTGAGTTTCTAACCAATTAGTGACACTGTAGCTTCTTAAGATGATTGGTGTCATCACTCCCTATAGCTGAATACTTGACTCTTTACTGTGACAGGTAACAGGACTCAAGCGGGCATGTGGGGTCGGGTCCTTAGTTGGTGTAAGCGAGCAAAGCGATGTCAGTTTACACCACCTGAGGTGTCTTCCGGCGCTCTGGTTTTCCCGTGTAGATGGAAGCCCCTCACTGTGCCCACAGAACCAGATGAACGGGTCCCTCTTCCTCCTGCCTGCCTGTGAGGCTGAGATCCTGCAGGGCCTGGCCCCATGTGCTGCCGGTGTGGCTCTGTCCGCGTTCGGGGACGGAGGCCCACAGATTTGCTCAGCAGGCACTGATGAAAGCACTGACCCTTTGGCGGGTGGCACAGGTGGATGGATGCACAAACATGACTGCTGCCTGAGTGTGTGGGGAAAGCAGCTGGCCTGTGGACGGCGTCAGATGAGCGAGTGTGACTCACAAGAACACACGGCTCTCAACCCTTTTCCCTCAAGAGAGACCTGCACCCAACTGAGCCTGGGCCAACGACAGCACCCGAACCACCGATGGCCATGAACGGACCCCAGGTGTTTAGCAGAACAAATCTGTTCTTCCTTTTCCTTTCAGTCATTACCTTAGGGGGCTGAGGCAGCTGGATCCCTCCTCGGGGCTGGATGTCTCGCTGGCCATGTAGGTCCCTGGCAAGTGCAGATCCATCACATACTGCACTTGCCTAACGCAGAGGATGAGCAGCTGGGGATACATTTCCAGGATGGCTTCTCGGTATCCCCATAGGAAAAGGACCTCATAAATGGTCTTCATTGCCTGAAGGGGGGAAAGAATTTCACTCAACTATCCCAATCTGCCCCCTGCCCCCATTGCCATTTGCGACTGTCCTTTTGTCATGTCTCATTTCCTCTCCAGCGTGTTACAAAAGAGGATTGGCTCCTGAGAGGGGAGGAGACATTTGGAAGCTCCTGAACCTTCCCCCATTGCTGGAACGGAAGCAGGATGGAACCCTATGGAAAGATCAGAAGAGTCTGGGTGACGTTATTCCCCGTTATTTCTCTTAATGGTGCAGACCCTGCGCTTTGGCTTTCCAGCTGTGACTGGACGGGCTGAACCATCCTGAGGAGATGCGTTCTCATAGGCCCAGTGTTTCTGGCCCAGTCAAACGTACTGGACATCTCAAGATCCCATGCTGGGAAGATTTCTAGTCACAGTTTACAAAGCCAGAAACCTGGATACTTCCAAGAGACACCCAAACTGCACCTGCTCACTAAAGGGCCATCTAAAGCAGAAGACGACGGAGCCAGGGTGCCAGCAGAGAAACCACTTAAGATCTGTAACTTTTACCTGGGGGAAACTTTATTTACACCTCTTTGGTTTGATTGGAGGTGGCCAGGACACACGAAGGTCTGGTCTACACGACAGAGTTAGGTCAACACAAGGCCACTCACCCAGCATCACCCTAACTATGGAATTTCCTTCCCATTGGCAGAACTGCCCCTGGGGGCCAAGTTCATAACTCCACGTCCACAAGGGGCAGAGAGTCCAAGTCAATGCAGTTCGGTCGATGCAGTGTCGGCATGGACACCGCGTCGTTTACGTCAACTGACCCTCAGGAGCCTTCCCGCAATGCCCCACCCTGACCGAGGAATCGCGACAAGCGCTTCTGGTGAGGACGTGCGCTGCTGGCACCAGGGCTGGCTCCAGCATTTTGGCGGCCCCAAGCGGAGAAGGGAAAGAAAAGAAAAACCCGATTGAGCTGCCCCCGAAGTGGCGCTGAAGAGGAAGAGAGGGAATGAAGGACCCGCTGCCGAATTACCGCCGAAGACCCGGACGTGCCGCCCCAACTTTCTATTGGCTGCCCCAGGCCCCTGCTTCCTTTGCTGGCCCCCGGAGCCGGCCCTGGCTGACACAAGCAGCAAAGTGCAGCCCCACCCAAGGGATGGGCTTGCTGTGGCGGCTGTGAGCCGAGGGAGGTTAGGTCAGCTGAGCTGTGTAGTGGAGCTGTGGCCTGAAGCTCAGAAGGGGTGAAGCTCACACACAGACACACACAGACACACAAAGATGCACCATCCTCCCTGCCGTGGTGGGTTCACAAAGTGACATCTCAAATCTCACTTACAGCCAGGGACACATAGCCGCTCTTCTCCTCCCGGCGTCTCTGCTGGAGCTTGTCCAGCAGCTGCCGCAGCACCTCCCTGGTGAGCTGGGGTTCTTCACCCAAGGCCTTCCACAGCTCAAGGGCACATCTGCAGAGTCAGAAATAGAAGTCAGACCTTCCCTGCCTGGCCACCTCTCGCCCTCCCCAGGGAGAGGCTTGCAATGTGGGCAGAAAAGGCGTCTCTCAGTGGAGACACCGATCGGTGTGGGGAGGCTGAGGCTGGGCAAGTCCCTTCAGAGAACGTTGTATTTATTCCTTTCCCCTAATGGGTTATTGTTCCTGAAGCCAGCACCACTGCTTCCAAACAGTGCCCATGAACTGACCACAGAGTGACCAACACACTGCAGACTGCAAAATTCTGCTCTGTTCCGCTAGGGTCAGTGCGGAGGAACTTGCCTGACCTCATTGGAGTTACTCTGGCTATTTGGGGGTGTAACGGAGACCCAGCGTTTGGCCAAGTGTCTCAAAGCACCTCAATCCTACTGCAGTGTGGTGGATGGGGTCAGACACTGAATCAGAACATGCCCTGATAGGAGAGGATTCAGGAGCTTGGAAGGGGAGATTGTACTGCCCAGCGTGACAGAGATGGAAGGAAACTAGTATTGAAATCCCTCTCCTCTCTTCTCTCCATTCTTGCTGATCTAAGTCCTGCTGGTGCCCGCAGGCATCTGCAGAGGAAGACTGCAGACGGATCCAAAAGACTTCCAGTCATTTGACTTCCAAGTTTGGTGAGGAAGCTCGGACATGGTGGTCAAGCCCTGGGGACACTGAGAGCTAGGTTGGACAAATCAAGAGCAAATGGCCTGGAAGCAAGGTCTTCAGGAAGCTTGACTGAAATTCTGTGCCGTGGCTGCCGAGTTTCTACAGCTTGTGAGCACAGCCCCTGGAAAGCACTGTGGCTGTTCCAAGGAATTCAAACCTGAAAGGTTTACAAATCAAACACTCAAAGAAATATGAAAACCAACACTGTATTCCTCTGGTAACTGAATTGGGCAAGAAATTCAATTTCTTTCATGCTGCTCTTCAATTTGCTCTCCCATGTGACACAGATTTGTCTCTGGGCAGTGCAGAACTGCATTGCAGAAGATGCCGAGGAAAGCCGGAGTTTTGACCTCTGGCTAGGGTCCAAGTTGGGTTTCACGGCCCCTAGGGACATGGGGATTGTGTTCTAAACACCTCAGATGGATGACTCTGCAAAGTGACCAGCAATAACCAGCAGGATTCAGAGTTTACAACATATTGAGATGAAAAGAGGCACTCACCCCTCTCAGAGCTATTATTGCCGGCTGTCTGCAGACTCAGGCAGGATGCACTGCATTTATGCTCTGGTCATGTGTGGATGATTTTTTGTCTTTTTTGCAACAATAAGGGCTGGAAATTTCTGTCTTCAGAGATTTACCTCTGCTGCACAGCTCCAGAAGAATGAGTGTATTTTTTCACCAATTCCTCAGCCACGGAATAACTAGGGATCTGACGACAGGTAACAATCCTGCCCTGGTCTGCAGGGGATAGACAGATGGGCCTCATGGGCCTTTGCCATCTCTGCCTTCTCTCATGCACTAAGGAGCAGCCAGACCTCATGAGCCAGGGATGTTGAGTGAGCCCCAAAGTCATTTATTGGCCCTGTACTGGATCTGAGAGGAAGTGGGTGGCCCATAGAAATCAGGACAATGCTGGAATTCTCCAGAAAACTGGCACGTCTCCATCCCGGGGAGTGCAGGAGGAGGGGTTGGCTCCTCAGCGGCTGGGCCTGGCCATCTCCTCTTAGTAAGCATGGACAGCTCTCTGCACAGCAGGAAACTCCCTCCAACTGTGTGAGCCCCACGGACCCTTCCCGGCCTGTGGCCTGTCAGTGGGAGCAGGAAGAGAAATAACAGACTGAGGTGATAACAGAGCAGCTCCCTACCTGTGCGATGACAGCGTGTGAGCCACACAGGTCAGAACCACGTCCTGGGGGTGGGAGCGAGCCAGCAAGGCCGTGGCCCTCAGCGCTGCTTTTCTGGCTCTGGGATCACAGACGTTGTCGAGCCAGATTAAGATCCCTCCCACGACGTCTCCAACCTGGAAGAATGCCAGGAAGTTGAGGGATGGATGAATCAAAGAGTGGCCTCCTCCCAGGGAAGCCCTCCTGGCAGCCCTGCAAGCTGCCTCTGACCTCAGTTTCCCATCTTGGCTCCTCCATAATCTGAAGAAAGAGGCTTTGACAAGTCCAGGAACCCCAGTCTTCCGCAGGTCTGGTTTAGCACCTTAAAGCTCAGAAAAACACACAAAAGCCTTCCCCAAAACCTTACAGTGGGCACAGCCCAAACTCCCCTGATGTCCCAGGGCCTTCCCTGCCATGGCAAACTGCTCTCAGCCCTGCTCTCAAAGGCTTCCCTGCAGGAGCCTTTCCTCAGTCTCTGCAGCTTCCTGTTGCTCTTTCTAGCACAATCAGTTCCTCCAGACCAGGGGTCTCAACCTAGTTTCCATTGTGGGCCACATCCAATCCTACCTGTTTGGCCCTGAGGATGTCCCATGGGGCGCAGCTCTGTGCTGATTGGGCCGCAGGTTGAGAACCACTGCTCCAGACCCCAGAGCCCATCCTAGAGATGGCAGGCCGGGCTAGTTGGATGGGGCGAGCCAGCTCCAGACCCAGCCCTAAGGAGAACCTCTGTGCTGCGGGATTGTAAAACCTGCCGTAACAAATCTTAAAGCCGGCTCTCTACCCTCGGGCTCAGGCTCTGGCACCTAGAACAGCAGTGTAGACGTGGTGACTTGGGCTGGAGCCCAGGCTCTGAAGCTCCCCTCCTCCCTGGGCTTCAGAGATCAAGGTCCAGCCCAAGCCCAGAAGAGTCTGCATTCCTGTTTTGGTCCCACAGTGCCAGCCCTGGGAGCCCAAGTCCATAGGGCCAGGAGGCTTTCAGGCTCCTGCTGCAGAGTTTGCAGGACAGGGCAGACAGACCCTAAAGGGACAAGCCCCCCCCCGAGGGCTCTTCCATGAGGAATTGGTCATGGCTCTTGCCTCTCTCGAACAAGGAGCAGGAGCGACAACCCTGGGTGGAGGATTCGGGTGACCTGTTTTGCTAGCGGGGTGGGAAACAGGATCAGAGCTTGGGAGAGACAGAGAGAGACGTGCAAAGCCAAATTCTTCCTGATACTTCAGCTGGAAAACAAGGCCCTGCAGCATGTCTGAGGAAACCATGTCTGCTCCTGGAGCCTAATGTGGAGGCTCGTCAGCAGACTAGGTGAGTGCTGCCTTGCCAGGGCTGGGGCTGTCACACACCTTCAGTGTGGCTGGGCGTCCTCAGGGAAGTGTCAGAGCTCCTTCGGGCAGAGAACACTTCAAAACCTGACGCCGCGGATCCCCGCGGCCAAGCCCTGAATGGCAAGGGGCTGAGCCAACCTTCAAAGCACCATGCCAGTGTGTCCCAGGAACGGTTTCCTAGGAGAGGCGATTCTCCCGTCCCCCTCTCTGCCCAGCATCCCCCTGCCCCGCTGCGGGCGTCTCTTACTCTCTCCATCTTGTCTCCGTGGAGAGATACGATGGCCCTCAGCTCTTCCTCTGCGGCTCTAAATCTCTGCAGGGTGGGTGTTGTCAGACCCTGCACGGCTGTCATCAGCAGGGCGTGGAGCGGGTCTGAGGAAGGGTGCTCCCCGAGGGTCTGCAATGAACAGGGACAAAGCCTGTGGGGACTGAGTTTTTCCCTCGGGCAGCTGCCCTGGAACAGTCTGTCCCCGGGGGAGGCTGCCAGCGCCGAGGGAGCCTGGAGACTCCGGCTGAGCCCGTTTCTTAAAAAGCCTCCCCAGGTGCCAAGGTTTCCTCAGCCTTTCGTCCACGCTCTGTCCCCCTCTCCTGAGAAGAGACGGGAGGTTCTCGGGCAGTGCGGGGACCCCAAGGGCCACCCCATTTCCTCCCTCTCTAGCCCCTCCTCCCAGGACGCCCAGCTTTTGCTGAGAAAGCCTCAATGTCCTGCAAAGCCCATTCGAGTTGCTCCTTGAGTGTCGCCGAGGGGTCACTGGAGAACCTGCCCCATGTCCCATCCCACCCCGAGCGCCTGAGGAGATTGGCTCAGCAACTCTGGCAGCCCACAGTGTCTGCGAGGAAAGGAGTGAGAATAGGGCCCAAAGGGAAACGCCCTCTTCCTTCCCCACCCCGCAGCGTGAGGCGCTGCCAGAAAACAGGCAGGAATCGCCTGAGGAGAGAAAGTAGCTGAGACTGAAGGAGCGAGTCTGCCTGGCTGAGGAGAACCCCAAACCGTGGGCCTCCAGGGCCAGAGCCCTGTGGGTCAGAACTCACTGGGCACAATGTTACTCCTGGGGGCCCGGTTCCAGGGTCACCTCAACCCAGGGCCTGGGGTGCTGGAGGCTTTGCCCGGGTGTCCCAGGGCAGCCCCTGGGGATTGCTGCGGCTGGCCTGCGTGGCGCTGGATTAGCACCGTCTGTCCTGGATGCCCGCAGCTGAGGACGCAGCAGAGCACACCGGAGTGGCCGACTCGCCTCCACACTCCAGCCCCCCGGCACCTCAGGAGCTCCCAGAATTGCAGACTTTTGTATGCGCTGCAGGGTGCTCTGTCCCTGACAGCAAGAGTCACAAGGGCGTCGAGGTGCCTTTGTACCTCGGACGGAGCCAGATGTCGGCAGGCGGGATCGAACCTGGGATCTCAATGCAGGAGCCCCTGCCACAGGAGCTAAAACCCATGCGGCTGTTAGCTCAGGCTGGAGAGCAGACTCATCGGTTCTGTCTCGAAGTGGTCCTGGTGCCACGAGATGGGCCAGAACCCCACAGCCAGGAGATATGCGGGTCACCCCGACAAGGGCAGGGATGGGCCTGGTCTGACTTTCAGCCGTGCCTGTGGGCCATGGGAAGTGCCTCAGAATCAGGCACCTGAGCCAGGCACGTCTGCCAATCCCACGAAGCCCCCCTGGGCTTCTTGAGGTGCCTAAACCCCCTTGTCAAACTGGGCCTCCTTCGACAACCCAGAGAAACTCGTAAAGACTGGCTGGAGTTGATCCCACTTCAAGAGTGTTCCTTTTCAGCCCCCTGAGCAAGGGGCAGGTCGTTCTCCTGTCAGAGATCCCAGCTCCGGGAGATATGAACACACACAGCAAGGGGTGCTTTCCATGAGCACAGCCACACAGCGTCATTACCATCGTCCTAGGGGAGATGCTCGTTAATGAGGAGACGGGAGCGCGCTCTTCTTCCTGCTCTTCTGGGCTCCCTTTTTCCCACTTCTCCTTCGTCTCCGACGGCTCCTTCTTCGTCCCTGCAGCAGAAAGAAACATTCTTAACATTTTGCTTTTCCATGTCTTCTCCCTGGTTTCCAGAGGGTGGAAGCTGGGCACAGAGCCCTGAAGCGAATTGCCCCGGGTCGGACTGAAGGTTGTTGGCAGAACTGAGCAGAGAACTCCGATCTCATGCCTCTTAGCCAGGGGCTTTTACCACATGAGGCTTCCTCTTACCTAGGGGCCAGTTTCTTTTCTTTTCTACTCTTCCTCTCCCCTTGCCCACATTTCCCGTCAGTGACAGGCAACAGGCCTCATTTTGCATTTAACCCCCCAAGAAGCAATGACTCAGCTCTGGTACGGTTCCCAGCTGTGACCTGCTGAGACCTCGGGAGCATTTTCCTGATGAAAGGGACCCGATCCAGGAGAAAAGAAATGATTTCCTACAACGTCCAGCCTCTCTGTTCCCCTTACAGCCTGGAGCAATGTTAGTACTCCCCATCCCACAGAGCCAGACCCCCAGAGGGGCGTGACCTGACATTGTCAGCTCTCCCCACCTCAGCGATGGACCTTTGCCACCCTCTCCAAGAGGATCAGGCACTGAATGGATTCCAGAGTCTGAGGTACCCATCACTGTCCCCTGAGACGGCCCTGATGTGGAAGTATAAGGGGACTGTTGGCCCCTTACTCAAAGTCAGTGGGGTTTTTGGTTGGCTAGGTCCCAGTCCCAAAAGGAAGGGGAAGGGTGGATGGGAAACCAGGACTCTGATACTGACAGTCCTCAGGGGCCATGGGGAGAGGCCAACGCTCCAGGTCAGCCTGATTGACAGGGCGGGCAGGCTAATGACGGAGTCAGGGGGTCAGAAAGGTCCCCGTCCTCCGCGTGAGCTGGAATTGCCTGGCTCAGGCAGCGTGGGGCCGAGCTAAGGAGAGAGCGGGGGCCCGAGCTGAGCTGGGGAGCAGAGGCGGGCCAGCCAGCGGGGCAGAGAGACAGCCCAGGGAGAGCAGACCCTGGGCTGGGAGCAGGGCTGCAGCCACAGAGCCAGCGGGGCCGGAGAAGCAGCCCCGGGGGCTGGAGGCAGAGCAGCAGCATCCGTGCTGAGGCAGGGTGGAGCCGGAGCTCGAACAGTGGGGCTGGGGCTGGAGCTGGAGCAGTCTGGAGCTGGGTGCGGAGAGCAACGGGGGCCAGCCAAGGGGGGACCCTGGCAAAGGGCCCAGCGCAGAGAGACACCCCCAGCCGAGGGTCCTTGCAGGCCAGTCTGGGAGGGGGATCTGAACCCGGCGGGAAGGAGGGTCCCACTCCCCAAAGGCTGGAGGGGTGTGGTCACCACCAGAGCAAGTGTCCGACCCGCAGCATCCCTGCAGCACAGCCAGGGCCGGAGAAGGGGCCTGGGACCTACAAGGAACCAACTGTGAACGGCCCTGACGTTCCAGAGACATGGTTTGTGACGTTCCCTGCCACAGAGCGGGGTGATGTGTTTTCCTTTCATCTTTCCCATTTTTCCTTATTCTTTTTTACATTAATTGCTGATTAAATAAACTGTATTTGCTTTAAATCGTATGTAAATATCAGTGGGTCTGGGAAGCGCTCAGTGCAGAGAGAGATCGGGTTCCCCATCGGGGGGATCAAGACGGACGGGATTGGAGCTGAGTCTGAGAGAGCAAGAGGACCCTGGGAGACAGCGAGAGCCCGAGAAAGAGCTGCAGAAGCAGCAGCAGCATGAACTGGCGGTGGGGGAGCGGAGAGGCCTAGGGGACCTCCCCGGGGTGAGTGGGGATAGATCCCGGGGGGCCAGTTCCGCAGGGAACCTCGAGACTAAATTGCTGCCCCTGGTTAAGGAGGGGGGGGGGTGGATGCCCACCTCACTGCCTTTGAGCAGGCTGGCGATTTGAACCAAGGGGACCCTGCGGAAAAGCCCCGGTGTCTAGCTCCCTTGCTGGGTCCCAAGGCCACAGACTCCGTCAGCCAGATGGTTGGGGATGTGGAGAGGCTCCCACTCCTGACCCCAACCTATATGTCTGTGTGGAGTTTCCTGGGGCCAGGCCCCCCGGACCTCCAGTGGGAGCAGAAGGTGATGGTCAATGGGGAGACATTCTTGGGGTGGCCAAAGGGCATGGGCTGCATAAACCTTCCCACATGCGGCCTGCGAGTGCTATCGACCACCCCTGACCTAAGGGAGGGCGTGAAACTGGAAGGGCCTGGTGTAACTCCTACCAAGGAATGGGAGAGATGCTGGGGCATCCATGGGAACGTTGGTGGCTTCGAACTTCCCCAGGTCACCGGCTAAAGTGACCCCGCTCAGTTCGATCTCGAAGGGGGGAGAGATGTGACGAAGTGGGACTGTTCTTAATGTTTCCTCTGAATAGTGTGGGGGTGCCTCAGTTTCCCCTAGGCAGTTCTTAAGTATCTAGGGGGTGGGGTAAGGGTGTATGATCATTGCAGTGCCCTAGAGGGCATGTGTGTGCAGGAGTCTGGACACAGAGAATGGCCGACACCCTGTTTCCTGGCAACTGATGGCCTGGGCCCTTCCCCCCCTGCAAGGTGAGAGCTGAAGGGTTGGAGAACAAAGGAATCAGGTGACCACCTGGCCCGGGAAAGGAACAAAGCCCAGAGGAGGAGGGGCTGGAGGGGTTTTCAGTTTGGGGCTGGCTGGGACATGGAGTGAAGTGCAGACGTGGTTGTCTGGCTCACTGCCCCCCAGAATGGACCCAGCTGAGGGGTCCCGTTCTCTGCACCTGCAAGCTCTGTTTTAGACCATGTTCCTGTCGTCTAATAAACCTTCTGTTTTACTGGCTGGCTGAGAGTCACGTCTGACTGCGAAGTTGGGGTGCAGGACCCTCTGGCTTCCCCAGGAGCCCCGCCTGAGCGGACTCGCTGTGGGAAGCGCGCGGAGGGGCAGAGGATGCTGAATGCTCCGAGGTCAGACCCAGGATGGTGGAAGCTGTGTGAGCTGTGTGTCCTGAAGACAGGCTGCTCACAGAAAGGCGACTACCCCAGAGTCCTGACTGACTTCATGGGGAGCAGTTCCAGAGCATCGCCCAGGGACTCCATGACAGGAGGATCAACCCCCGCTTTGCTTGGTGTGTGACCGATCCTGGGCGCACCGCACTCACACGGTGGTTCCCATGGAGGAGGCTGCCCAGGAGCACAGGGTAGGGAACAGTTATCTGCATGGTTGGAGTTACAGGGGCAGCTTCTCTGCAGCTACAGAGCCCCCCCGTGTGTCTGACCAGCCCTGGGTTAGAGCCAGGGAGCTGCCTAATAACGGGATTGTTGTGCAGTGGGAATTTTTCATAATAGTTTGGATGAATATTGTGTGTGCCTCAGTGTCCCCTATGTGGTGCATGTTTAACACCCACAGACCCCCGTTGTCGTCAGCTGGGATCAAAGAGGGGGACCTGTGGAGCTTAATGGACGAGCCTCTACTGCGTGAGCTAAAAGACCTGTTCTCCTCTCCAAGACTGCAGGAGGTTCACACATCTTTAGTTGGTCTAGGTGCTGCTGAAGGGGGACAGAGCGCCACACCAGGCAGGCATGGGTTACACATGGTTAAGGCTATGAGTTTTTCACAGAGGTTGCAGAAGTCACGGAATCCGTGACTTCCAGAGACCTCTGTGACTTCAGCTCGTCGCTCCAAGCGAGCCCCCACAGCTGCCCAGCCACTGTGAGCGGTGTGGGGACCCCGCAGCTGAACTCCCCGTGGACAGGTCACGGGCTTCTGTGAATTTTTCTTTATTGCCCGTGACCTGCCCTGACTTTTACTAAAAATATCCCTGACAAAATCTTAGCCTTACCCATGGTTAAGTAGGTGAGGGGAGGGGGGAAAGGTGTTACTTGTAGAGACCCAGAGATACAGGCATGAGGGACAGCTGGCTGCCTGGGGCCCCATGCCCATGGAGTGTCCCAGAAGACAATGGCCATTCCAATTGCCTGGACATTTGGCACCAAACAATAAATGACCATGGACGGCCCACCCTCCATGGGAAGCCAGCCAAGTGTGCCCAGCTGGAGGACAAAGGACTAGGCTGGGGTTCTAAGTGTGGGCAGCTGGAGGCAGGAGAGGAGCTTGTGGGCTCGGACGACAGAGGGGACAGAGGGCTCTGGGACTGACCCAGATGGACCTTTCCGTTCTCTGTGTTCACTAAGCACTGTCTGCGTTGTGTTCCAGACATGTCAAAAAACAGGGAGAGTCAATTATTTTTTATAAAGGTCCAAATTTCTTGGTCAAGGCATAGCCAAGGTCCAGACTTCAGAGAAAATAATAAAAAATAATAACAATCTTGATCATAATAAAATAATGAAAAGATTTCAGGATCTGCTGGAAAGCAGCTGGTGGTCCAGACTTGGCCCACGGTCTGCCTGTTGACTGCCCCTGTAATAACCCCCCTGCTTTTACAGTGCAGGTTGAGAGTCACTCCAGGGTAAGGAAGTGGGGTACATGGCTCCCTGGGAGCCTGCAAGTCTCCCTTGGGTGTCCAACTCAGGTGGACTTGCTGATGTGAAGCAGGGGTGTTGAAGGCTCTGAGATTCAGAGTCAGGAGGCGGTGAAGCCAAGTGACTTTCCTCATTGGAAAAAGTGTGACCTTAAGGGGGTTGCCACACTAAAGAGCTCCTCCCAGGGACTGTTCAAGAGCACCAGACCTATGGCAGGGAAACAGCCTGGAGATGATGGTGCTGGGCCGGAGTGGGCCAGGCCCAGCAGCCCTGCCGGGGAGCTACCTTGGAGCTGAGGTCACTTTTTCAGAGGGTTGGAGAAGGGGGACCTGCTCCCACAGCCTCACTCTGCTCAGTGACGATGTTATCGCTGGGCACAAACCAGTGACCCCAAACCAGCCCCCAGAGCCATTGTCTGTTTGCAGGAGCAAATCCCGACCCGCCTGCAGCATCTGTGGGAGGAGAGAGAAGAGCTCCTGGGCCTGAAATCCGACTGGGACAAGGAGAGGGAGAGGCTCCTGGTAGGTGCCCTGCCCTGCCCGGCCGCTTTGCACAGGGGTGTCAGCAACAGCAGCAGGGGGTCTCTGCGCTGCTTGGGGTCTGGGTCATTCAGAAGGTTAAAGGG